AGGAGGAGGAGGAGAGGAGGGGAAGGGGAGGGGGAGGAGGCGGAGGAGGATGTCTTCGGGTGTCATCATTTTTGTTTTAGTGGTTTTCGTTGCCACTGCTGGGCGCGGCTCGAGAAGCTGGTCAGCATGGTGCGCGGGAGGGATCCTGGGTTCGGGTTTGTGTCGGTTTGCTCGGTTTTTGGTCAGTGCAGTGGTGCTCCTAGCGCCACATGGGCGTATGCCTGGCCGCGCGCTGCCACAGGCTCTGGAGTTCTCTGTGCACGCGTCGAATCAGGAAAGGACTCCTCGGAGCCCACTCACATTTTACTGTCGCTCCAGTGGTGTGCGCGTTGGGGCATTCTGCGGATGGAAGCTTTCAGGCACGAGCACGTGGTGCAGCCTATGTGGTGCAACTCATGTGGTGCAGTGTATGTCGTGCAACTTATGTTATGCAACTGTGTGGTGCAAACTGCGGGGTGCAGTTAATGCGGCGCAGTATATTTGGTGCAAGCCATGGTTACATGCGAACGGATGCAAGCTGTATGGTGTAGTATGTGTGGTGCAATCTATGCGGTGCAATCGACTCCAACTCTACCCGAATTTGATGTACACCTGTCAACTCTACTCTATTCTACCCTATACTACTCTACCCTACATTATCCCACCATATTTCCTACGTGACTGCATTGTACACTCTACTCTACTCCTGCTAAACATGACTCTACGCCTACTGTACTGAGCTCGTCGTCGCCGCAGTCGTCGTCGTTGTCTCCGTCGTCGTCTTCGTCGCTGTCGTCGTGCGTTGTGCGTCGTGCGTGGTCGTCGTCCTCGTCGTCGTCGTGCGTTGTGCGTTGTGCGTCGTGCTTCGTCGTCGTCGTCGTCGTCATCGTCGTAGCGTCGTTGTTTGCGTCGTCGTCGTGGTCGTCGTTGCCGTCGTCGTGGTCGTCGTTGTCGTTGTCGTCGTCGTCGTCGTCGTGCGTCGTGCGTGGTGCGTCGTGTGTCGTCGGCGTCGTCGTGGTTATCGTCGTCATCGTAGCGTCGTCGTCGGCGTTGTCGTCGTGGTCGTCGCTGCCGTCGTAGTCGTCATTGTCGTCGTCGTCGTCGCCGTCGTAGTCGTGGTCGTCGTCGCCGTCGTCGTCGCCGTCGTCGTCGTTTTCGTCGTCGTTTTCGTCGTCGTCGTCGTCGTCGTCGTCGTCGTCGTCGTCGTCGTCGTCGTCGTCGTCGTCGTCGTCGTCGTCGTCGTCGTCTCCGTCGTCTTCGTCGTCGTCGTAGCGTCGTCGTGCGTCGTGCGTCGGTGCGTCGTCGTCGTCGTCGCCGCCGCCGCCGCCGCCGTCGTCGTCGTCGCCGTCGCCGTCGCCGTCGTCGTCGTCATCGCCGTCTCCGCCGTCGTCGTCGTCGTCGTCGTCGTCGTCGTCGTCGTCGTCGTCGTCGTTGCTGCCAGGTGGGGGGAGGCCCCCCCCCATGATTTTTCGGGCTGGGGGGGGGGGGGGGATTCGAGCCCCCTATAGCTAATTTTCCCGGAGGGCGGGGGGTGGTTCAGGATCCCCCTGGCTAGTTTTCCCGGGGGTGGGTGGGGTCTCAGGCCAGCCACAACTGGGGGAGCTGTGGTCCTTACCCCCCTGGGGGACACATCGATTTCGACACCCCTCTCGAGAGATCGTCGATGCGATGGGTTCCCCCAGGGGGGTAAGGACCATAGCTCCCCCAGTTACGGCTGGTGGGGGTCTCCGACCTACCGCTCATTTTATTGGGGGGGGTCCTGAACACCCCCCCCCGTCTGGCTTTGGAGGGGGGAGGTTGAACCGCAGGTCGGACTCACCCCAGCCAACTGAGACTAATCCCAGCCAGCTGGTAGTTACTTTTTCCCAACCAGCGGGAAAAGCGAAACTGGTACTAAGTCCATCCAGCCAAGTAAAGTCACTGCTTGATTGTAATTGTGAGGCGATGCTAGCACAACCCCAAACCAACTCATCGGCTTATGAGTGCACATTTAATCCAGAAGCTCACATGATTGCCAGAGTTGGAATTCGTACCAAAACGGCTCGCCAGGACGTGGAGCTCAAGATGTAAATGTGGATGGCGGTGTTAATGAATAGGTCGTACATCTTCTGGAACATAAGAAAAGTACGATTCCCAGCCATCCCACGCCAGGTCTGTCCAGGTTGTCCGGAGATGTGACTTTAAGGGTTAAGGGTTTAAGAGTAAAAGGCTTCACGGTTCAAGGGCTTAAGGGTTGAGGGGTTTCAGGTATCAGGGTTTGAGTGTTTACGGGTTTAAGGACTTACGGGTTGAATGGCTAAAAGGGTTCATGGGCTTTCAGGGTCTGAAGATTTAAAGATTTCAGAGTTGTTTGGGGATCTAAGATGTAAGGGTTCAAGGGTCAAGGGCTCAAGGGGTTTAGGGCTTTGGGGCTTAATGGTTTAAGGGTCAAGGACGTAAGGGTTTAAGGGTTAATGGTGTAAGTGTTTCAAACATTTAATGGCTTAAGTGTTTAAGGGTTTCAGGGTTCATGGGCTTGAGTGTTGAAGCATTTAACGGTTTAAGGGTTTATATGGTCTTAATGGCTTGGACTGTTTGGGGGATTACGGGTTTAAGGGTATAAGGGCTTAAGGGTTTAAGGGTTGATGGGCTTAACGGTTTCGGCGACGGCGCCACCTGCCAAGGTCTTCGACGACCGCCCTCGGATGTGTGACTCACGGGGCACGGCTGGATGAGGAGAGGGAGGAACAGGAGGGCTCGAGGGACGGAGGAGGAGGGGGGGGAGGAGGAGGGGCGCCAGTAGGACGCCTCTCGGAGACTCCTGTAAGGCGCCCCTCGGAGCCGCCTGTAGAACGCCGCTCGGAGACCCCTCTCAGAGACGCCTCTCAGAGCCGCCCTCGAGTCGCTTCTCAGAGCCACCTGCAAGACGCCTCTCAGCCACGCCTTTTCAGAGACGCCTCGCAGAGTCGCCTATTCAACGCCTGTGGGACGCCTCAACAGGGACGCCTCTGGGAGACGCCCGCTAGACGCCTGTACGATGCCTGTACGATGCCTGTACGATTCAAGCATAAAAAACAACGTCTGTGAGGCTTCTCATGTAGGTTGGTTGGGATTCATTCTACAGTTTCTCGAATTAGTGCCGAAGTGGTTGGAACTAGTAATACAGTCGTTGGAATTCGTTCTAGATGGTTGTGCTTCATCCCACTTCCGGGTTGACCCCCCTCCTTGCCGCCAGCAGCGGCAGAACGCGCTCTCTTTGTTTTTCATACGGATCCGCGCACTGGGCGAAGGCTGGATCAACGCGGATGCGCCGCGTGGTGGGATGAGAACGCGGTTTTTGGACGATATTGCTAGCATCGTATGATGTTCTCACGATTTCAGCAGATGCGCGCGGGCAGAAACGCCGCAATATTTGTGTTTCAATATCTCATTTTAAATTGAAGCTTGTATCTTGAGATGCCTGCAGATTTTGATGTTTTTGGCTTGATTTCGACGTGTGACTTTGTGCCATGTGTTGCAAAGGATTCTTCAACATGTATTCTTTCTCGATCGACGAGTGTGCCCGCCTCTTACTTTGAGCGGGGGGGGCGATGCTGGTTGGCCTGGAATGGTATAAGTTCAGACTGAAAACGAACGACGAGGCACGATCCAGTGTAGTTTGTAGTGCCCCATGGGGTTTGGTTCAGTCCGCACTCGGGAGGGCGGTGGAATCTGCTTCTCGAAAGGAGAATCCACCTGGGTGTGGAAATTGCAGTGGTCAGCCCCAGTGCTCGTGCAGCCACCCCACCCTCCCACCTGGAGCATGTTGGCAACGCTCATGAGGCCATACTCGCAATGAGCGCACGGGCGCGTGGAACCCAACCTCCCAGGCATGCCCGCCCTGCATGCCGCGAAATGGTGGTGGCGATGGTGACGACCGCATCGCCTATGACGATGATTTCCGTTTCCCTCCCTCTCTTCTTCCGTTCGTCCCATTCCTCCCCGACACAGCGGGAAGGGTCATCGCGCGCGCCAACATCGCAGATCGGATGTCGTTGGGAAAACGATAGGGTGGGCCCAGGGTGTCTTGGAGAATCTCGTTCTGGATTTCGAGGTGAATTTCGCGTGGATTTTTTTGGGCCAGGAATGAAGACCATGAACAACAACTCACGCGAACTTCGCTTCGTTTTCCACTCGCCGTTTCGGGGTCTTGCACTGGCAGGGATCCACGCAAAAATGCGCGGGAGCACGTCTGCAAGGTCGGTGCAGTGAGAAGGGGGGAGGGAGCTCCACGCACGCGAGGTGCCCGAGAGTGCCCTCGCGGGAACAGCTCGCGGCGGGCACTTGTGCGACACCTCCCCGTCGGCCAGAGCTGGCCGCCCGCAGACGCCGGCCCTGGGCGTGCAGCGGACTCTCCCTTCTACCCTCCCTGCCCTCGTCGCCCCCCCATCGACTCCCCCCCCCCATCTCCCCCTCCCCCCCATCATCTCGTGCCTTCGCCCTCCTCGACCCTCCTCGATCCTCCTCCCCCTCCTCAATCCTCCTCGATCCTCCTCCTCGTCCTCCTCCTCCTCGATCCTCTCCTCCTCCTCTCCTCCTCCTCCTCTCCTCCTCCTCTCCTCCCTCCTCCTCCTCCTCCTCCTCCTCCCTCCTCGAGGGGGGGTGGGTCTGCGCCCCACCCCCCGCCCCTTCGGCGGCCCCGCCGCCGTGGACGGAGGAGCTGGACGGCCTGCAGACCATGGGCGACGCGTTCCTGCTGGCGAGCCTCCTCCCTGCTGCCCCTCGTCGTCGCCATTGTCCTCCCCTGCTTCGTCCTCCTCTTCCTTCTCCTCGTTACCCCCCTTCGCCGCCCCCTCCTCCTTGCCCCCTCCTCCTTCTCCCTCCTTCTCCCTCCTTCTCCCTCCTCCATCCTCCTCCATCCTACCCCTCTTCCTCCTCCCCCTCCTCCTTTTCCTCCCTCCCTCCCTCCCCCAACCTTATCCGCCCTCCCTCCTTCTCCTCCCTCCTCGCTCCTCCCCTCTTCCCTCCTTCTCCCTCTCCCCCATACCCCCTCCTCCCCCTTCTCCTTTCTACTGCCTCCTCCCTCCTCCTCCTCCTCCTCCTCCTCCTCCTCCTCCTCCTTCTCAACCCTTTTCCTTCTCCTCCTCCTCCTCCTCCTCCTTCATTCCTTCTCCTTACAGATAACTTCTCCCTGTCGCACCCCGAGGCCAGTTCTTAGGGCGGGCCGGGCGTTTCGCTTGAGACTTCCTCACCATTTATGGATCTGAAGCTTAAACACGGACAACAGTTTCACAGACGGAGGGCAGAGTTCTCGCCTTGGCGCCGCGCGCATTCGTTTTAACAAATTGCAAGCGTTTCGCGGATTGAGGGCGGGTGGTTTTCAACTGTGGCTCGCGCCTTCGCGCCGCGCACATTCGTTTTAAGCATTTGCAGGAGTTTCACGGATTGAGGGCGGGTCGTTTTCAAGATGTGGCTCTCGCCTTAGCGCCGCGCACATCCGTTTTAAACATTTGCAAGAGTTTCACGGATTGAGGGCGGGTGGTTTTCAACATGTGGTTTTCGTTTTCGCGCCGCGCACATCCGATTTAAACATTTGCAAGAGTTACACGCATTGAGGGCGGGTTGGTTTGAAACTGTGGCTCTAGCTTTCTCGCCGCGCACATTCGTTAACCAAATGAAAGGGTTTCACGGATTGCGGGCGGGTGGTTTTCAAAATGTGGTTTTCGCCTTCGCGCCGCGCACATCCGTTTCAAACATTTGCTAGAATTTCACGGATTCCCATGAGCAGCGTACCAGAACTGGTGTGTAGGACGGATTCAGGATTATGTGGGCGCAGCAGTTATGTTGATTCGCTGTGCTGAAGTCCCCTAAATGGCGTTCTGGCACGATTCTGGATCGTCAAGACGCAGCAGTCAGGTTGATACGTGGCGTTGAAATCCCGAGAACAATGTTTTGGCACGTTTCAGGATCTTCAAACTATTGTCTTCCAACGAGGCAGTTTCCTCAATGGAAATGGACTGTGGTAGGGGCCGATGAAGAGGGAGCTTGGAGGGAGGTTTAATTCCAACATCGTTGATGACTCTTGGGTTTCCACTGGTCCTCCTCCTCCTCCTCCTCCTGCTCCACCTCCCCTTCCCCTCCCCCTCCCCCTCCTCCTCCCCCTGTGTCCTCCTCCTCCTTCTCCTTCCTCCTTCCTTCTCCTCATCCTTCCTCTTTTCCACCTTTCCTCCTGTCCTCCTGTCCTCCTCTCCTCCTGCTCCTCCCTGCTCCTCCCTCTTTCTCCCTCCTGCCTCCTCCCGCCTCCTCCCGCCTCCTCCTCCTCCTCCTCCTCCTTTTGCTTTCTCCTCCCTCCTCCTCCTCCTCCTCGTCCTGCTCCTCCTCCTGCTCCTCCTCCTCCTCCTCCATCCCATTCCTTATCGATAACTCATCCCTGTCGCGCCCCAGACGTGCCAGTAGTGCAGGCTAGGCGTTTCGCCCGAGACTTTCTCACAACAGTTCCAAGGGCGGCTGGCGCTTCGTTGTCAACATGGAGCTCTCGCCTTATCGCTGCGGAGCTGGGTCCCCTCCCTTCTGCACCTCTTTCTCCACCCGCGCGCACTCGCACGGGTCGTCGCTGCCCGTCCAGCCCTGCCAGCCCGCGTCGAGAGGGCCTGCCCGCAGCGGGTGATAGGCCGTCTCAGGTGTTCTCCCCTACCCTTGGTATCGCTCGGAAGTGTGCGCTCTTCTCGGCAAGGACCATCGAGGAGAATTTTTGTACACCTTGCGAAGCAATATACGCACGAAGCCGCAAAATGCACAGGGAAGGGATGTCCGAGCGATGGCGAGGACATGGGGCAGGTGGCGCCGACGTCGCCACGAGGCTCCGTGGCCGCAGCGCCGCTCGCCCTCCGGCCCGGCCCAGTTGCGCCACACGCCGCTCCGCCGCGCCCGCGCCGCCTCCGCCAGGGTCGCACCTCGCGAGGTGCCGGCAGCGCGCCCGCCTCCTCCTCCTCCCCCTCCTCCTCCTCCCCCTGCTGCTCCTCCTTCTCCTCGTCCTCCTCCTCCTCCTCCTCGCCCTCCTCCTCCTCCTCCTCCTCGCCCTCCTCCTTGGCGAGTGGCGCGGGCCAGTCGGCCAATGCGGCGCGGAGCAGCCCCTCTGTCGCGCGCAGCAGGCGAGTCCCACAGGGGCGGCAGGGGCCGCGAGGGGAGCGCCCGCGCGCAGCCTCGACGGCGCGGCGGAGCTCCGCACTCGGCTGTGTGACCGGCCAACGGCGACCCGAGGGGTGCCTGCAACACACGCTTGAGCGAAACGGGTACTCAGGAGGCGGAGGAGGAGGCGGAGGAGGCGGAGGAGGAGGAGGAGAGAGAGAAGGAGGAGGATGAGGAGGAGATGCAGGAGGCATCAGGCAGGCAGGAGGCGGAGGAGGACGGGGATGATGATGATGATGATGATGATGATGATGATGATGATGATGATGATGATGATGATGATGATGATGATGATGATGATGCTGATGCTGATGATGATGATGATGATGATGATGATGATGATGATGGTGGTGGTGATGATGATGCTGCTGCTGCTGACGATGATGTTAATGATGAGGATGCTGATGATGCTGATGATAATGATATGAATGCTGATGATGCTGATGCTGATGATGATTCTGCTGATGATGATGCTGATGCAGATGATGATGCTGCTAATGATGATGGTAATGACGATGGTGACGGCGGTGATGATGGTAATAATGATTATAACGATGATGATGACGACGGTGATGGTGATGCTGATGATGATTATGATGATGGTGATGATGTTGATGATGGTGGTGGTGGTGATGATGCTGATGATGCTGGCATTGATGTTGATGTTGATGATGGTACTGCTCATGATGACAATGATGATGATGCTGCTGATGATAATGATGATGACGACGATGATGGTGATGATGCTGGTAATGATGCTGATTATGATGATGCTGAGGATGATGCTGATGCTGATGATGACGATGATTGTAATGATGCTGGTGTTGCTGATGATGATGGTGATTATGAGGAGGATGCGCTGATGATGCTGATGATGCTGCTGATGATGATGGTGATGATGCTGCTGATGATGATGACGATGATATTGCTGATACTAATGATCGTGATGGTGATGCTGCTGATGGTGATGATGATGCTGCTGATGATGACGATGATGGTGATGATACTGCTGCTGATCATGATGTTTGTGATGATGCTGCTGATGATGATGATGCTGATGCTGACGACGATGCTGATCATGCTGCTGCTGCTGCTGATGATGATGATGATGATGATGATGATGATAATCATGATGATGATGATGATGATGATGATGATGATGAGGATGATGATGATGATGATGATGATGATGATGATGATGATGATGATGATGATGATGACGATGATGATGATGATGATGATGATGATGATGATGATGATGATGATGATGATGATGATGTGTACGATGATCATGCTGATGCTGCTGATGATGCTGCTGATGATGGGGATGATGCTGATGATTCTGAAGATAGCTGATGCCGATGCTGCTGATGATGATGTTGCTGCTGATGATGAGGAGGAGGAGGAGGAGGAGGAAGAGGAGGAGGATGAGGAGGAGGAGTATGGTGGTGGTGCTGCTGCTGACGAGAAGGTGGAGTAGGAGGAGGAGGAGGAGGAGGAGGAGGAGGAGGGACAGGAGGAGGAGGAGGAGGAGGAGGAGGAGGAGGAGGAGGAGGAGGGACGATGATGATGATGATGATGATGATGCTGATGATGATGATTGATGATGATGATGATGATGATGATGATGATGATGATGATGATGATGTTGATGATGATGATGATGATGATGATGATGATGATGATGATGAGGAGGAGGAGGAGGAGGAGGAGGAGGAGGAGGAGGAGGAGGAGGAGGAGGAGGACCGCCTCTCCTCAGGTGAAGGCGCGGTGCCAGCAGACCCAGAGGGTGGCGGAGTGCTTGCAGTGGGCGGGCACCAGGCGCGTTCGGCGGCGCTTTCTCTGGCCGGCACCCCCCAAGCTCTCTTGGGTTTGGCTCGGGTAGCGCTGCAGGAGGGATGGAGGGAGGGATAGAGGGAGGGAGGAAGGGATAGAGGGTGGGCGTTATAGGAGAGATACAGGGTGGATGAGGGCGACGACGGCCAGTGACGATGAGGAGAAGGTCAGGATGAGGATGATGATGCTGATGCTGATGCTGATGATGATGCTGATGATGGTGATGATGATTTGGGTGGTGCTGATGCTGACGATGCTGCTGTTGATGCTGATGATGCTGCTGCTGATGATGATGCTTCTGATACTGATGATGATGATGATGATGATGATGATGATGATGAGAACGCTGCTGATGATGGTAATGATTACGATGCCTATGCTGACGATGATGCTGCTGATGCTGATGATGCTGCTGATGCCGACCATGCTGATGATGATGCTGCGGATGCTGCTGCTGATGATGATGATGGTGATGATGCTGATGTTGCTGATGATGATGGTGATTATGATGATGATGCGCTGAGGAGGATGCTGCTGATGATGCTGCCCATGATGCTGTTGATGCTGATGATGGCGATGCTGATGATGCTGATGTTGATGATGAGGATGATGCTGATGTTGATGATGATGCTGATGCGGATGCTGCTGCTGATGATGCTGCTGATGATGATGGTGATGGTGATGGTGATGGTGATGATGATGATGATGATGATGATGATGCTGATGGTGATGCTGCTGATGATGGTGCGGATGCACATGCTGTTGCTGACGATGCTGATGATGATGCTGAGGATGATGATGATGCTGATGATGGTGATGGTGATGGTGATGGTGATAGTGGTGGTGGTGGTGATGATGCTGATGATGCTTATGCGGATGCGGATGCTGATGCTGATGACGATGATGATGCTGATGCTGATGCTGATGCTAATGATGATGCTGATGATGGTGATGCTGCTGCTGCTGGTGATGGGCAGGAGGAGGACGATGCGGAATACTAGTATTAATAAACGTACGAATGACATTAATATTCATAACAGTAACCATGCTAATCATACTATTCATAAGAAGCATGTACTATCCAATAGAATAAGAAGATGAATAATAAGCATAATAATGAAATAACGCTACTACCAATAGTAAGAGTAATAAGAAAAAGAGGAGGAGGAGGACGAGGAGCAGGAGGAGGAGCAGGACGAGGAGGAGGCGGAGGAGGAAGAGGAGGAGGGGATGAGGGAGGGAGGGAAGGAAGAAGGGAATGATGAGGAAAAAAGGGAGGGAGGAGGACCAGTGTAATCCCAAGACTCATCAACGATGTTGGAATAAGCCATCCCTCCAAGCTCCCTCGTCATAGGCCCCTACACGCGCTCATTCCACTGAGGGAAGAGGCCCGTTGGGGACAACCGTTTGAAGATCCTGAAGCGTGCCAAAAGACCATTCTCGGGACTCCAGCGCCACACATCAACCTGACTGTTGCGTCTTGACGATCCTGAATCGGGCCAGAAGACCATACCTGGGACTTAGCACCGCGAATCAACGTGTTGTTGTGCCCCGACAATTTAGAATCGTTCCAAAGCATTGTTGTTGTTGTTGTTGTTGTTGTTGTTGTTGTTGTTGTTGAGCATTATTTATTCTAAAGAATAATTATTGTTGGGCCCCCTGGTGCGCGCCCCCCCTGCGCCGCCTAGGCCGCAGCTACATTTTCATCATTTTCGTGAGGAAGCCTCAGAAAAGAGGGTGTGTACAGGATCCGGTTGTTTTGTTGTAATCCGCTTTCCCTTGCAAAAAACAATAGAAAATGACATTTCTTGTTCTAATATAATCAAATTTCAAGAATCCCTTGCAAAAAATAAGGTAAAGTGGACATTCGCGCGCGCAAGACGAAATCCTTCCAAAACCTTAGTGTTCGCAGCGATTTTAACATAAAAACATCAAAAAACCAATGGTTTTTCAACAAAAAATGTCAAAATCTCATCCCGCGCGCTCTTGCGGATTCGTAGGAAACCCAACACTTTTTAAACATTTCTGTCAAACGGGCTTTTGCGAGCAACTTTTTCGAACTTCTGCGACAACGGTTGCGCACCTGCCAGGGCCATCATCCCTGTCAAATAATACCATGCGGGACACATTCGTTTTTTCTTCGCGCGCGCACGCCGAAATCTCCAAAAACCATTGGGCTTCTTAAGAATTTTAGCACCGCGCATCATAAAATCACACGAATCGCACCGTAGGTCCTCGAAAAACACCTGCACGACTTTTCAAAATTTCCACCCGCGCGCGCTGTCCGAATCCTAAAAAAACCAATGGTTTTCCAACATTTATGTTACATGAGCTCGCGCGAGCTACTTTCGCACGCTCTTGCAACGGGGTTCGCGCGCCTGCCAGGGGCCACAATCCCTTGCGGTTGCGCCATAGGTTGCGCCCTCGGCCGCCGAGAATAAAACGTCCCCCTATTGGTTGCGCCATAGGTTGCGCCCTCGGCCGCCGAGAATAAAACGTCCCCCTACTGGTTGCGCCATAGGTTGCCCCAGGAGGCCTTCAAGAGGCCCCAAGAGCCCGCCGTGGGTTAACAAGGCTTAACAACTTCTGTGGGTGTACGAACGTAGGCTTAACAACTTCTGTGGGTGTGTACTCCACGCCAGTGTAGTAGCCACGGTCGTCCGCAGGCCACGAAGTGAAGTGTCCGAACGTCATAGGGCGGGAAGCTGGGTGTGGGTGGTGGCGAAGAGTCGTGTGGATATTTGGTAGAGCTTGCACTGCCCCCCCACAAAGTGGGGGTATTGGCTGGCGTCGCATGAAAACCCTGGCACTGGTGAGAACACTGAGCGTTCGGGTAAAGTGATTGTTGTTGTTGTTGTTGTTGCGTTAACCATGGAATTCCTCGAAACCCTGGCAGAAATTTTAAAATGAATGTTCGCGGCGCCAAGGCCAAGGACACATTTTGAAAACGACCAGCCCCCAATCTGCGAAGTTCTGGCATATTTGTGAGACGAATTTGCGCGGCGCTGAGGCGGGAGCCACATTTTGAAAACGACCAGCCCTCAATCCTTGAAGCTCTTGCAAGTCTTTGCGATGAATGCGCGTTGCGCTTAGGCGAGATCCGCATTTTGGAAGCGGCCCGCCCTCCATCTGTGAAGCTGTTGCCAATTTTAAGCTTCAGAGTCATTCGTGCTAAGGACGTCTCAGGCGAAACGCCCGGCCCGCTCTTCCGACTATCCTCGGGGTGCGACACGGAGGAGTTGCTTAGAAGGAAAAGAATAGAGGAGGAGGAGGAGGAGGAGGAGGAGGGGGAGGAGGAGGAGGAGGAGGAGGAGGAGGAGGAGGAGGAGGTGGAAGAGGAGGAGGGAGGTAGAGCAGACAGGAGGAGGACGACGAGGACATGACGCTGCTGGTGAGCGTGTCCTATGTCGCGACGCGAAAACATTTCGCACATTGCCGTTGGATCCTCCTGATGTGCCGCGAGCACTGGGCCACCACAACATGTACTTCCCAGTTTCTGAGAGCACCCGCCGCGCGCCAGGGCCCGCCATAGCCGTTTATCAGCCAATTCGATCGCCGCCTGTGCTGCGTCACCATCGCGACGGTCTCCGCCTTCTCCCTTCACCTTTCTCCCCATTCCTCCACTCCTTCTGCCTCCCTTCTTTGTTTTTTTTCCCTTTTGCTTTTTTCCCTCCTCAGTTGATTGTTTTTTCTCGTTCTTCTTCCTTTTTCTCCTTCCTCCCTTTTCACCTCTCCCGTTTTTTCTTCCAAGTCTTTTCTGCTCGTCCAGGGCTCCGTCCATGATGCACAGGTTGTGGCTGGGACAAGGTCGCACAGGCAACATAACCAGGGCCCAGTTTTTTTTTGTTTTGTTTTTTTGTTTTGTGTGTGTGTGTGTGTGTGTGTCTGCTGCCGCTTGGTCTGCCCCCCCTCCAGCTGCTTCGCCGCCGCTGTCCCCATCCCCCGGCGCTGCCCCGCCGCTGCCCGGCCCCGCTTTGAGCGGGCCCGGCCTCCCGTCTCCTCCTGCCCGCGCCGGGCGTCCTCCTCCGTCCCCCGTGCATCGCGGCTTAATTCGCGTTCCGTGTGCCCCATTAATGCGAGTTCGCCAGCGCAGTCACTCTGCCAGTGCGGTCGCAACGGGTTGTTTGGGGATAGTTCCTCCTCCTTCTCCTCCTCTTGCCGGCGCTGCTCCTCCATCTTCATCCCACCGTCCCGTCCTCCCATACCCCATCCTCCTTCCTGCTCCTTCCCTTGCAGGCTTCATGGAGGCCACTAGGGACCCCTGAAGCCCTCCTGGGACCTCGGGAGACCCCTGGAGGCCTCCCCCTCTTCCTGGGCAAGCTTTTGCGGCATTTGCGCCCTATTCTGCTCCGCCAGAGTTACCCGAACACATGCTTTCTCTCGGGCGTAAGGGAGGCGGGGAGGAAGGAAGATGGCCAGAAAAGTAAGACGAGTGGTGGTGACGAGGATGCGGATGAGGATGAGGATGAGGATGCGGAAGACGATGACGATGACGATGACGATGACGATGATGATGATGATGATGATGATGATGATGATGATGATGATGATTATGATGATGATGATGATTGTAATGATGATGGTGATGATGATGGGCCTTATGGTGATGCTGAGGCTGATGATCATGATGATGCTGATGATGATGATGATGATGATGATGATGTTGATGATTATGAAAATGATGATTTTGATGATGATGCTGATGTTGATGATACTGATGATGCTGTTTATGAAGACGATGATGATGATTATGATGATGTTGACGATGTTGCTGATGATGCCGATGTTGTGCTGATGATGATGCTAATGATTCTGGTGATGCTGATGATGATGCTGATGCTGGTGATGATGCTGATGATGATGCTGATGCTGATGCTGATTATGATGATCATGATGGTGATGATGATTATTATGATTTTTACGATGCTGCTGCTGATGCTGCTTCTTATAATGCTGCTGATGCGGATGATGATGCTGCTGATGATGGTGATGATGCTGATGATGCTGATGATGGTGGTGATGAAGATAATAGTGATGGTGGTGGTGATGATGATGCTGATGCTGATGATGCTGATGATGGTGATGATGATGTTGATGATGCTGTTGATGAGGTTGATGAGGATGATGCTGATGTCGATGATACTGATGATGCTGTTGATGATGCTGTTGACGATGTTGATGATGCCGATGCAAATGATAATGATGCTGATGAATATGGTGATGCTGATGATGCTGCTGATGCTGATGCTGATGATGATGCTGATGCTGATTATGATGATGCTGATGACGATTATTATTATTATGATGATGATGCTGATTATGTTGATGATGATTATTAATATGATGCTGCTGCTGATGATGATGCTGACGATGCTTCTGATGCGGATGATGATGATGATGATGGTGATGATGCTGCTGATGATTATTATGAGAATGATGATGGCGATGCTGATGATGCTGATGATGATGATGGTGGTGGTGATGATGATATCGGTGGTGATGATTGTGATGCTGCTGTCGATGATGATGACGGTGATGATGCTGCTGCTGATGATGCTGATGCCGATGATGATGCTGATGATGATGATGATGATGATGATGATGATGATGATGAAGATGATTATGATGATGCTGCTGATGATGATGCTGATGATGCTTATGCTGTTGTTGTTGATGATGATGCTGATGATGATGATGATGATGATGATGATGATGATGATGATGACGGCGGTGATCGTGGGGGTGGTGATGGCGGTGGTGCGGATGATCATGAAGGGGAGGAGGATGAGGAGGAGGAGGAGGAGGAAGATGAGGAGGGGGAAGAAGAGGAGGCGGAGGAGGAGGAGGAGGACGAGTAGGAGGAGGAGGTCAAGGAGGCGGAGGATGCGCGGTGGTGGTGGAGAGGATCTTCCTTCTCAAGCGCGAGGTTTAAAGAGGGGTCCTCGGAGCTCTTCGCGGCCTCGTCGAAGTTCTGCACGTCCGTGGTGACCGAGTTCGCGTCGTACCTCGGCAATTCGACGGTGCTCCTGGAGGCCTCGCTTCGGCTGTGGGCTCTCCACGTCGTAGTCGGAAGTAGGGGAGGATAGCCTGGCGGAGGAGGATTAAGAGGAGGCTGATGATGAGGAGGCGGAGGAGTACGAGCATCCGATCCATGTCTGGGCAGCGTAAGAAGGCGAGGACGAGGCGGCGGATGAGGAAGCGGAGAAGGTGGAGGGGAATGAAGAGGAGGACGCGCAGCAGCAGCATGCTTTCGCCCTCACCATCATCACCACCATCATCATCGTCATCACCGCCGCCACCGCCATCAGCATCATCATCATCATCATCATCATCATCATCATCATCATCATCATCATCATCATTCTCATCATCACCATCACCACCACCATCAGCATCACCATCACCATCACCATCACCATCACCATCACCATCACCATCACCATCATCATCACCATCGCCAGCATAACCATCATCACCATCATTGTCATCATCGGTATCCGCATCATTGTCAGCACCATTTTCAGCAACCTCATTCTCCTTCTGCTTCCATTCTGACTCCCGTCCGTTTCTTTTCCTGCCCACGCATCCCTCTTATCTCCTCGCTCCTTCCTCCTCGCTCCTCCCTCCATGCCAGTCAGCACGCGCATCACACACTCCATGAAATTGTGAGTATGTGATGATGGCAGTGGGTACTGCTGATGCTGATACTGCTGATGATGATGCTGCTGATGATGACGATGATGACGATGGTGTGGCTCGTGGTACAGATGGTGATGCTGATGTTGAGGATGGTGGCGGTGGTGGTGTTAATGATGGCGATGATGGTGATGATGCTGCTGATGCTAGTACTGCTGATGTTTATGGCGGTGCGGGTGATGCTGGTGAGGTTGCTGATCACGATGAGGATGATGCTGATGCTGATGATGATAAGTATAATGATGATGCTGATGCTGATGCAGATGATGATGACGATGATGCTGATTATGATGATGGTGGCGGTGGTGATGATGATGCCGACGACCATGGTGATGCTGCTGATGATGCTACTGCGGATGTTTATGGCGGTGCGGGTGATGCTGGTGAGGTTGCTGGTCACGATGATGATGCTGATGATGATGCTGATGCTGTTGCTGATGCTGATGCTGATTATGATAATGACGATAATGAGTCTGATACTGATGATAATGATGATGTCGATTATGATGCTGCTGCTGATGATGATACTACTGCTGATGCTTATGGTGGTGCGGGTGATGCTGGTGCTGCTGATGATGCTGATGATGAGTACGATGATAGTGATGATGCTGATGCTGATGATGCTGCTGATGCTTCTACTGCTGATGCGTATGGCCGGGCGGGTGATGGTGATGATGCTGATGATGTTGATGGTGATTTGTATGATGCTGATGATGATGATGCTGATGATGATGCTGCTGCTGCTGCTGATGCTGCTGATCATGCTGACGATGAGGACGATGACGATGATGATGACGATGCTGATGATGCTGATGATGATGATGATAACGATGATGCTGATTATGCTGATGATGCTCATGATGTCATTGCTGATGCCCGCGCTGATGCTGACGATGAGGATGCGGATGATGGCGATGGTGATCATGCTGATGATGATGCTGCTGGTGATGCTGATTCTGATGATGATGCTGATGATAATGCTGATGATGAGGATGCGGATGATGGCGATGGTGATCATGCTGATGATGATGCTGCTGGTGATGCTGATTATGATGATGATACTGATGATAATGCTGATGCTGATGATGATGCTGCTGCTGGTGATGCTGATGAGGGACACCACGAGCTGGTGGATGATGATGATGCTGATGATGAGGAAGATGCTGCCGCTGATGATGGTTGTGATGATGATGGTGATGGTGATGGTGATGGTGATGATTATGATGATGATGATGATGTTGATGATGATGATGTTGATGATGCTGCTGATGATGATGATGATGATGATGGTGGCGATGCGGATGCGGACGCTGAACACGATGCTGATGATCAAGACGATGATGCTGCTGCCTCTGATGATGATGATGATGATGACGATGATGATGATGATGATGATGATGATGATGATGATGATGATGATGATGGTGATGATGATGATGATGATGATGGTGATTGTGTTGTTGATGGGTGTAACGGGAAGGACTATAGTATCTCTTATTGGTGTTGCTGGTACTGTTGCTGTTCGTATCATTATTAGTAGTGTTGCACGTGCCATTGTTCTCATAATTTTGATCGTTGCAATCATTCGCTTTACACAGCCAGTGCTTCCACTTATGGGCTCTTATCTCTCTTAATGGAACTGGGTCGTGCGGGCGTTCTGGCGGCTATGTGGTCGCCGTCGCCGCCCCGCCGCCGCCTCGTTGCCGCCCGTCGTCTGGGCCGCGTGGGCGGTCTGGCTGCTATGTTGTCGCCGTCGCCGCCCCGTCGCCGCCTTCGTCGCCGCCCGTCGTCAAGGCCGTGTGGGCGGTCTGGCGGCTACGTTCCAGCCGTCGCCGCACCGCCG